GGCGGGAGTAGAAGCCGCTGCAGGAATGGCGGTCCCTGGACCGGCCCTGGCGTGGGTTTGGGTGACGACTCCGAGCTTCAATCCCACGTGGGAGCTGTGAGCACCACCGGCGGCTCCCACCATGGGCTGTGTGACTGGGAACAACGCTCTCCGGACTTCTCCACGGGACTTGCGGACACTGAAAACCTCACCCGCTGAGACAAAAACCTGAGAAGATGAAATCCGGCCACAAGGATTACCGGTCCCGCCCTCCGGAAGCGCCCAAACGGAAATGCCTTCTCTGACCCTCCATTGGCTCCGCCTGATGCCATTCCATCCGTGGCCTTCTGGGTAATGTAGTTTCTAAGCTCCAAGGCCGGGATCCAGTATTTCTCAGTTGACTCTAGGACTGGATTTAGGGGCAAATAGCCCAAGAACACACCAAGTATACTCAGGGTCCTCTAGCGCCTTCAGGGGAGGTGATTTCCGAGCCAAGATTGTTTCTCCTGCACCTGAAGGGCTTTCTTTAACTGCGGTTTTGCATATATTTGTTCAGGACTTGCTGTTTCTTAAGGGCAGGCATTGTTTCTTCATTCAAGACTTTTGGCATGTGTTTCCCTCGGGCCATTTGTATCTGGAGGAGGTTGTTCAAGACTCTAACTGCCTTAACCTGCCTCCATTGAATCCATTATACAAAGTTAAGGTCACAAAACAGACGCTAGTACTTAAGGACATCTGCTTCTTATGCCATCAAAAGTGTCATCACTGCCTGGGCTGCAGTGTGGATAAGATGGTCAAGAAACATATGAAAAGATGCTTAAAGTCACAGATCATCAGAGAGATGGAAATTCAAGCAACAATTACGAGTCACCTCACTGCTTTCACAATGGCTGCCATCAACAAATGAACAAAATTCAAGTGCTGGGGAGGATGTGGAGAACAGGGACCCTAGTACACTGCTGGTGGGAATGCAAAGTGGTGCAGCCAGCATGAAAATCAGATTGGACTTTCCTCAAAAAATTTAGTATGGAACTTCCATTTGATCCAGTGATTCTACTTCTAGGAATATATCCTAAGAAACCTGAAATAACAAGATCGAATATATACTCCCTTCTGTTGATAACAGCAGAATTTACAATAGCAAAGATGTGGAAACAGCCCAAGTGTCCATCAATAGACGACTGGATTACAATGCTTTGATACAGCTCTAGCCAGTTTGGCTCATTGGATAGAGCGTCACCCTGCAGCCTGAAGGATCCCAGATTTATTTCAGGACAAGGGTACATTCCCAGGTTGCAGGCTTCATTCCCAGTAGGGAGTGCACTAGAGGCAGCCAATCAATGATTCTCTCTCATCATTGATGTTTCTCTCTCTCTCTCTCTCTCTCGCTCTCTCTCTCCCTTTCATTTCTTCTCTGAAATAAATACTTAAAAAAAATCTGAGAAAAATTTATACCATGGAATACTCTGCAGAAGTAAAAAAGGAGAATTTTTACCTTTACAGACAGAATAGAGGCACCTGGAAAGCATCAAACCAAGTGAAATCAGTAAGTCAGAGAACGACAAGTATCATTTGATCTCACTCATATAGGAAATCTAATTAACAAAATAAAGTGGTGAATGGAGTGGATTCAGAGACATGGAAGCATGCAAGGGAGTACAGAATCTCTGAGGAAAGGAATAGGAGAGGAAAAAAAGAAAAAACAGCCTCCGGTAAGGTTTAAACACACACACACACACACACACAGTGACCTGAGCCTTGAGCTTTGTCTTCTGTTCTCTGAATACAATGGGAAAACACTTGCTTGCTGTGTTCTGAGTGTGCTCTAAATTTGTGTTTATTAATCTGTGTTCAATCAGTTGAGTCTCTGGAAATGCTGATACCCCTCCATGTAACTTTCTCCTGCTTCCCATGAGTCAATTCTTTTGGTAATGTTGAAAGAAATGTCCAAACTTGTGGAGAATTTTTCTAAGTTCATGTGACCCAAGCTGGTAACACTGCCAGGAAGCAGAATAACAATAAATTGCTTGGGAGAATGGCAGTTTTGCACCTTTTTATACATGAGACTAAAGAAGAAGACATAAATGGGTTACATGACATTCACTGGTGATAAATTGGGGACGGGAGCTAAGGAGGAAAATCTCTGAGATTGGATAAAAAGTAAAAAAATAGAAAAAGACATAAACTTCTTTTTAAGTTTATCTATTAGTTAACTGTTAATATTTAACACAACAACAATAATTGGGGTTCTGCGATCTTCTGTGTTCAGAGATTGTGCTCTTAGGTGTCTGTGAAACAGAAATGTCCCTTAAAATCCGAAGGTATGTTATCCCTGATGCAACAGACAAGACAGGCTCAATAAACTAAAATTTGCACCTTGCAAAAAATTAAAAAACCACACACACACACACACACACACACACACACACACACACACCAAACAACGCAGACTGGGACATAAATTCCCCTTTGGCTGTAATGGGCGACCCGTGGAGAAGACCACCAGGGACTCAGATGAAAGATTTAGGAGCCTTTATTAAGCTGGCCAGCGACTACAGTTGCAGCACCCTGCCGAAGCAAAGGCTGAACAACAGCGCAGACTATAGGAATTACAGCATTTTTGTTTGCAAAAACCTCAAAGTTACAAAAACCATAGTTCCAGACACAGTATAGTATCAATACCTTCCTATCTATGTGTTTTAGGAA